ATAATGAACTGGAACCTGACCGGACTCATGACGATCAGCTGTGACTTGACAGCGCTCAAGATGGGCAGCTGTGACATGACGGGGTGCCGTGGTGTCCGCCATTTTGCGATCAGGCTCCACTGTCGCCGCCATCTTGTGAGCGTGCTCTAGTAGAGCCGCCATCTCAGTCACAGACACGGTGTCGCGTTCCTCCTCCGCGTCACCCACAGTAAACAAAGAGCCAACGGACAACAAAGCATAATCCATCAGGTCCCTTAAACTACCGTTAAATTCCTCTCCAGGTAACCAAGATTTCGTGGGTTCATTGAGTCCAAAACGGAACAAGTCCTTAAACAAAATCTCATCATACAGTGGAACCAGATAAGATAGAACACAGAACCGGTGAACATACTCCTCAATAGAAAGGCCTCCTTGCCGAAGATGTAGTAGCTGGGTGACTGGGTCCATACCTGGCCAGAGTCCACTGGAAAAGCCGCTGGATCCTTGTTGGGCTGAGTATTCTGTAACGGGGCTGACGAGACGTGAGACATGTGGATCCATGTGCAGGCTTTATTAAAGAGACATGGTAAACAGGCAGGGTCAAAACACTGGCAAACAGGTATATGGCGGGCAAAACACAAGAATAGTAACAGGGCTAGCGTAGGTCACCGATCAGCAGACAGAATCACAGGGGCGAGACGAGAGGGAGAAATCCAAGAAAACAGGCAAAGATCAAAAACCGAAAAAACAGGCAAGGCAAAACAAGGAAAACATGGAGACTCGGAAAGGGGTACAGGCTAAACAATACTCAGCAGAGCAATGTGGTTAGAATGGGTGTAATATAGTGAGTGAGGTGATTAGAAACACCTGTGTGCAATCAGAGCAATCAGGGTGGTGTGCAAATTGTGCAAAGAATGATGGGAAATGTAGTCCGGGGTGCTATGCAACAGTTTGTGTAGTGCGAGAGTCAATGTAATGGAAAGGGTGACATCTGGTGGTGAATAAACGGAAGTCCATGAACCGAAATCGTGACACACACGTCACTTCCTGTTTGTTACTGCCGTGTGTTTTGAGTTTGAGCTCCATCAAGTTAATTCTTTATCGTCTATTTTTTATCTTAAAATCAATATTATACACCATCATTTTCGTTTCTATAACGTGTGAATATATCCCCTATCGTATTCTACAACAAAAAAAATCAGAGCACCTTGTTATCACTAGTTTTATTTTTATTTCCAGAGTCCGCTATTAGCTTATACCCCTTAGCATCGCCAGCGTGGTTGCCGCTAATCTCGCTTACATTGCTAATACTCTATTCACACACATTACCATTGTTTTACTCACTGTTACTTACTGTAATGGCAGATGTGTGTCTACCTTTGAGTGCAGGTGAGGACATGTTCGAGCTGCATTTGAAGCAGATCTGCGACCTGGTGGAGAGGCAGACCGAGCTGAGAGAGCGGAGAGCTGTGCTGGAAACATCTCGGGCTGACGCTCACAAGTCCGGGGGGAAAGTATACAGCACGCTGCTAACTCTCCCACCACCTCTACTCCATGTGTTTCTCTGCACAGGAACGCGATCTTCCCAGATGTTCTTCACTCCGGTGCCGGGACACCACGGACCCTGGATGCACCCGCAGCGGAAGACGCGAGCCAGGCCCCAGGCGACGACCTCTCCCCCTCCGCCGCCTCCGGTCTTTGAGATCTCCACCTGAAACCACTTCGCTCCCCTCCGCGAGACGGAACTCGACGCTGTGATCGTCGGAGACTCCATCGTCCGGCACGTCTGTGCTACATTAGCTGAAGGTATAGTGCACACTCACTGTTTACCTGGTGCTCGTGTTCTCTATGTTTCTGCACAGATACCTGCGATCCTGAAGGGCGACGAGAGCCCCGGAGCGATCGTGCTTCACACGGGGGTTAACGACACCAAGCTGCGGCAGACGGAGACACTGAAGAGGGACTTCAGGAGCCTGATCGAGACGCTGCACAGCACATCGCCCGCGACAACAATCATCGTGTCAGGACCGCTTCCCACGTATCGACGAGGACACGAAAGGTTCAGTAGACTTTTTGCTTTAAATAAATGGTTATTGTCATGGTGTAAAGAACAGAAACTGCTCTTTGTTAATAATTGGAATCTTTTCTGGGAGCGTCCTAGGCTTCTTCGCACTGATGGCCTGCACCCCAGCAGAGTCGGAGCGGAAATCATGTCGGACAACATCTCCAGGACGCTATGTTTCATATGATTAGTAAGCCAATTCTCAAATAGCTACTATGATGGCTTTTGTTCTACCCATTTAAATGATAGAAGTACTTGCGCTGTCCAATCTATAAAGACTGTCTGTTTACCGAATAGTGAGGTTAAAATATTAATTTAATGCAGGATCTAGAAAAAATCTGATCGTGATTAAACCAGAAAAATGTTAAATAAATGAACAAAAGCAGTTTTTAAAGTTTGGGCTCCTAAACATTAGATCACTCACACCCAAAGCAGCTATTGTAAATGTGATTAAACCAGAACAATTTAAAATAAATGAACAAAAACCATTTTTAAAGTTTGGGCTCCTAAACATTAGATCACTCTCACCCAAAGCAGTTATTGTAAATGAAATGATCACAGATAATAGTTTTGATGTACTCTGCTTGACTGAAACCTGGCTAAAACCAAATGATTATATTGGTCTAAATGAGTCTACTCCACCAAGCTACTGTTATAAGCATGAGGCCCATCAGACTGGCCGTGGCAGCGGTGTTACAACAATATATAGTGATATTCTCAATATTACTCAGAAGACAGGATACAGGTTTAACTCATTCGAAATACTAATGCTTAATGTTACACTGTCAGATATGCAAAATAAATCTATCGTATCTCTTGCTCTGGCTACTGTGTATAGACCACCAGGGCCGTATACAAATTTCCCTTAAAGAATTTGCAGATTTCCTCTCAGACCTATTGTTTACTGTTGATAAAGCGCTAATTGTTGGAGATTTTAACATTCACGTTGATAGTACAAATTATGCATTAGGACTTGCGTTTAATCATATGCTAGATTTAATTATATCGCATGGAATTGATCTTACTGATATAGATGTCGTACCTCAAAGTGATGATGTTACTGACCATTTCCTTGTATCGTCCATGCTGCATATTAATGACATTAACTATATGGCTCCGCATTATCGACCGGGCAGAACTATTGTTCCAGCCACCAAAGACAGATTCACAAATAACCTGCCTGATTTATCTCAACTGCTCTGTGTACCCATAAGTACACATGAACTAGACGAAATAACTAGCAACATGGGCACTATCTTCTCTAATACATTAGAAGCTGTTGCCCCCAACAGAGTGTGTTAAAAATGTAAAAGATTGGATGACCAATAATTTTCTCCTATTAAATTGACAAGACAGAAATATTACTTATTGGACCAAAAAAACAGTACACAGAATGTCTTGGATTACAATTTGCAACTAGACGAATGTACTGTTACTTCCTTTACAGTCAAAAATTTGGGTGTTATATTAGATAGCAACCATGTTACAAAAACAGCATTCTTCCATCTTAGAAACATTGCC